CCCCAAACTTTACTCTTAATCTCTCTGCAATAGCTTCAAACAATATTATCATCCCGAGCACGGAATCAAGAAGCGATAATATTAAAACGATTCCTACGACGTAAGTATCGCTATATCGCCTCTTTTTTTCTTTGTAGTTTGAGTTTTGGAAGGTACTTAATAGTTAATAAAATGTGTAATTTCTTTATTTAAGTGTTTAAATATCAGGGAATGTTAATAAATTTGTTTCCTAATAGTTAGAACTCACGAGATGGTGATCGGAAGCCGTGAGTTCGAGTTATTTGACTTGTAGTGAACTGTTTTGTGGGCTGTTTCATATTGCCTTTGGGCTGTATATTTTTCTACTATTTAATGGGGTTTTGGAGGAAAAATGGTGTGGATAAACACCACATAATGATGGAATGGTGGGATGGTCGTTCGTCGTTATATTTCTTTAGGTTGTTTGACACTACTTTGGTTGTCGTTTTATGTATGAAGTAATTAAGGTGCGTGGGATGTTTTGTGGTACATTGTGATGGAGATAAGGTTGGAAAATGATGCTTACATGTTGTTATTGTCGTGTTCTTGTTGTTGTTGGTATATGGTATTGGAGGAGGGCCTAGTTACAGAGGAGATGCTGCCCAAATTTACGTAAACGAGCTACTAGTTTAAGTTGCGGACTTAGCCTTTACTCACTACTGATTTTGAATCTTCTTATGATGTGGTAGATTGGGTTGAGTTGTTTGAAGAATTTCTTGGAAGGTATTAAGGACTCAACGGAGTTAAGGTATGTTAAGGTTATCCCTCCTTTCCTTTTGGCATGATCTGTACGATTCAAACGAAACGAGCAAATACGCAACTTTCATAAATGACTCTTTTCATAGAAATACTAGGGATATCTATATTGTTGATTTCCTATGTGTATTATTATTCTATTATCTGTTCATGGGTCTCAGAAAAAGTACGCAAGTTGATAAAGTTTATTTCATGATATTAATCAAAGGCATAGTGATCTTATGACATTTTGAGAAATCTTATTAACGTACTTCTTATGCATTTTATTCATGTATACATGTATATTTATCCATGACCAGATGATGTTATATACGCGTATATTATATGTATATGGGATATGAAAAAAGGTTATGGCGTTATATACGCACCACCACCTGATCAGCTGGTATACATTGATGATTTTGCTCACAGTGGCTGAGATGAGATGGTGGGATGCCCTCAGAGGCTTGATGATGTTATGTACGCATATACCTATACATGGTATGGAATTTATATGCACATGCATGACATTATAAATTTTCATGATTCACAGAGCTATTCAGAATTACAGGTTGAGTTCTTTACTCCATGTTTCTTTCAAGTCTTTTATATACTATTGTCATGCCTTACATATTCGGTACTTTATTTGTACTGACGTCTCTTTTGCCTGGGGATACTACGTTTCATGCCCGCAGGTCCCGATAGACAGGTTGAGAGTTCTCCTAGTAGGCTATCAGCTTAGCAGAAGGTGTTTGTGCACTCCACTTGCTCCGGAGTTGCATATTTGGTCAGTATTATTTGAATATGTATTGATTGGTATGGCGGGGCTCTGTCCCAACCTTTATGATATTTATGTACTCTTAGAGACTTGTAGACATATGTCATATATACGGATACTGGTATGGCCTTGTCGGACTATGTTTTGAGTATATTAAGTATCATTCCGGCCTTATAGGCCAGTACGTCATATGTATAAGCCGGTATATCAAGTTAGGTCATCCAATATTTAGTATTTTCTCATGTTTTATTCTACTTATCTCACGACAGCCTCTCCGACTCATTTACCTATGATAGTATGATACGAAAGATACGTTACGTTGGTACTCGATTGAGTACTGTACCGGGTGCCCGTCGCAGCCCATCAGTTTGGGTCGTGACATCTAGAGAGAGAGGCTCTCGGCCATGTGCATTCCATAAACTCCAAGGTGAGTTTTTATCCATGTTTTGTGATAATTAATATTGAGAAACACTAGTATTAACATTGCAACATCCTTGGGTTTGTTAGATTTCATCAAATCCACCAAGAACACCAAAAGAGGGATTTTTCTAGGGTTTATTTCTAAAGGTAATTCTCAATAATTTAAACCTATTTATGGGGGTATAAATGAGTGTTTTAATATTACTTATGAGTTGTAGAAGTAGTTTAAAGAGTGGAATAGATGAACCCTAACTTTGACATTGAAAAGCTTGTTGGTTGGGAAAATGAATAGTATTGGGTTTATTCGAACAACGTCGTTTTGAGTTTCTAATGGAACGACTAATTTTCATAACACATTTAATGGATGTATTGGAGTTTACATTCAAGGATTGACCTTCAAATGGTGAAGTAAGGATTTCTGTGAAAGTTGTGAAGTTGGAACTAAGTGTTAGGCACTTAGTTGGTTAAATTGATATTGTTGTGACGCGTTAATGATTTATGTGAACTCATAAATGTAGATATCGATTTGTGATGGCATTTGGGCATTTTAAACAAATTGGAGCATCGTAGTAATAGTTGAAGCTTGGACTTGAGGTAAGTTGATTAATACTTACTCTTCTTGAGGGATTTTCTCTAAAATCATATTTGAGTTATTAAGTGAGTTTGTTTGTAAATGTACATCCATGCTTGTGGGGACAAGAGGGAAAGGATGATACCATGTATTTTGAGTTGTGTTTCATAAAGAAAGTTTTGTTGTTTTACAATTGAAAATTTTTGTTTCTAAAGGTTTGATGTCAAATGATGCTTGAGAAAAATATTATAATGTTTTATTCAAACTTAAGCATTGGAAGGAATATAAAATATTTGAGGGCTAAAGATGTATTTTTATGAAGAGTATTTCTTTTGAAACTTGATTAATGGATAACACTCTTGTATCTTTAAAGGATGGATGTTAAATTGCTAAAGGCTTTAACACGACGAAGATCATATATTTGATTATTTTTATTCAAAATGGTTTAGTTGGCCATGAGCAATGATTTGATAAAAATAGATCCTTTGAGGCTAATATGCTATGAATCTATTTTTTGAAATATCAAATGTTTTGGGAGTTACTAGTGGAGATCACCGAGATTGGTTCGAATGTTGAGTTCGTTACCATGGAACTACACGTGCCGGTGTAGGGGCACATTCCAAGGCTAAGCCGAGGTTTGTGGGATAAAGTCCCCCATTGAGAGGGCAAATGATCATTACTTAAGGTAATGATGTTAAGTCGAATCATACTGCACTGCGGAAAGCCGCCCAGACAAGTAGGGTCAAATACTTGTTGCTAGGTCGATCACCTAGTAGTTGTTTATTATGTCGGTATCGGTATAGTACTCCCATTGAAAAGGTAAAATATTATTTTATTATGTTTAGTTCTAAGGAGCCGAAAGTGACTTCAATTATTTAATGAAGTTGAAATGGGTTTTCATGATTTTTATTAGGATCATGGGTTGATATAAATGTTTTAAAAGTTTGTATCATAATTTATATTTTTCTAGTCTTTTCATTTAGCATGATAAAGAGCATGAATTGATATAATTGTTATCATTCTATATCAAATAGTGGTTGCATTATTTTTGTAAAGCCTTGTCCCAGGAACTTGAGTTAGAGAGAGTCTATGACACTTATTGAGTACCGCCGTGGTGTACTCAGCCCTCAGGGGCCCCTCTCTAGGGTCCCGCTTACTTATATATTTCAGGAAGAGGTGTGGTACGTGATGAGTAAATGAGGCTAGGATGACTCTCTTTCCGAGGTGTATGGTGAGGCACCACTTATATTTCGTGGTAGTTGTCATGTTGATTCTTTATTCTCCGTTGGTCAAGATTATCCCAAATGTTTATTTTGTTCTCATGTCTTAGAGATTCCATAGACTATAAGTACTCTTTTGGGGTTGTAATTGATGGTCATTCATATATCATAAAATAAAAGAGACATTGTTATCCTTATGTATTTTCAATTATTGAAAATAACGTATTTAAAGATTATACTCCATGTATGGTTTTAATCATTTAAAATGATTGTGTTTTCAAAAAGGCTTCCGTATGTATTTACTTTGCATATAGATGTACATTCTGGTACTGTTAGTTCGCCCGGGTCGGATAGTGTGTCGGGTGCCGGTCACGTGATTTTGGGTCGTGACAAATAATCACTTTTAAGCCTATTATTTAAAATATATTCATAATTTACAATGTATTTAAAGATTAGTCATGCCCAAACTTCAGGACTAAGTATCCTAACTATTTGTATCCTTAACTTTTGAGCTACTAATTTGGAATTCAAGACTTAGTATCCTAAATTTTTGAGTTGTTAATTTAAAATTCAGGACTAAGTATCCCGAAATTGCTAATTTAAAAATTGGGTGACAAAATTCTAATTTCTGGATACAATATTCAAACTTTAGGACACGTTGTCTTGAAGTTTGAACCTTGAGGTTTAAATTTCAGGACGCTGTGTCTTGAAGTTTGAACGAATTGGCTAATATTTAAATACACTATAAACTATGATTATGTATTAAACAACATGCTTAAAAGTGACTGCATGGTGTCATTTCCACTTTCCTATCCCAATAAAGCCCATAGGCTAGTAATGTTAAGTAAGTAGAGGAATTAACCTAAATAGTCGTCCACTTAACTTTTTAAATTAAAATAACCAACGAAAAAGGTTAAAAAATAGGCATAAGAATTCACTCAAATAGCCGCCTACCAAACTGCTTAAACTAAAGATAGTTGTTGAATGTATAATATATGTATAATTTATGTATTATATGTGTATAATTATGTATCATCAATGTATAAACTATGTATATGGATAGAAAAAATAAACAATGAATATGACGGGCTATTCGTGTAAAAATCCCTAAAAAATAAGCAATAAATCTGATTGGCTATCTATGTACAGATCCGGTAACCCAAATCATATAATGGATTGGGCAACTCAAGTGGGCCAGCCCACCGCCTCTCGCCCATTATATATATATATACACGGGCCTCAATATTTTTCGGGTCATCTTCGATACTCAGCTGGGCTATTTTTCACTCTCTGCAGATAAAACCCTGTGGCTTTCGGTTCCAGAAGCTTCATTCCTCGAATCAGGTTCGCTTTACATCTTTCCATGTTGTTATTTGTTAGCTAATTTAATTATGTTTTGTTTGATTTTCCGTTTGTTTTGTGTTTGAATTCAACGAATTAATTAAAATCATAATAAAAAAGTTAGTTTTTGGTTTAGGTATTAGTAATTGAGTTCATAGAATTAAACCAATTTACTTTTGTTGCAGCAGCAGATTTAAGTAAACTATGGATTAATGTTAACCTCAATTAGAAATAGTAAAAGCATTTAACTTTTATATAGCACCTTTGCTAGGAAAATAAATTTAAGCTTTGCTGAGTTATCCAGAGTAATAATTACTGTGTATGCTAGATGTTGAACTCTGAGTGTTTCTTGATAACTGACAATAGGCTTAGTCATGTGCTAGGGGAAGGACGAAATAAACTTATTAAGGTTTGCTTTTTTGTTCCGTTAACGATGGTGTTTGGGCTAGCTTGCTTGTATCTGTACTATCGCACTGGGTACTTGTTACCTTCCACTAGCATAGCTATCCGGAAACTATACTCATTAAAGATTTGACATATGAGAAGAAATCACTTAGCGTCTTTCTGTCTTTGTTAGGATTTGAATCCACTTTATTGATCAATTTATCATGGTCCAATGATTGTATACATTTAATAGTAATCGAGATCGGCTTAGACAATATATATGCGAAGGTCTCTTTTTTTTAAAATTTTTTTATGACCGAGAAATCCGTCTGGGACCGATCCTTTGGACCAACCGCAGCCTTCGAAACTCGGTGGATAATGGGCCCGCCCCTCTACCCTTCTCTACTTAAATACCAGGCTTTGCTTTGCATGGTGTGGGGGCTTGAACCTGTGACCTAAGACACAAATCCACCACCCTTTGCCACTTGAGCTAGGCCCTGGGGGCAAATGTCTCTTTTATATCCTGTCAAGAATTGAATTGGGGGAGGGGCTGCTTCTATGGGTGTTCAATGTTGAGAAGATTAACCAGTAAGACTATGGAATAAGTGTCTGGACTTTTTTGTCCTATTGATGTGAAGGTGAAGATTTCATCAGAGAAAGAAAAGTGATTCTCTATATGAGAATCCAACTATATGAAATTATTTGAAGTGTAGGTTCAAAACTCAAAAGAACTTGGACGTCCTGTTTCTCTGTGCCTCTGTGGTATTCTCCTAATCATTAGAATTAGATAAAGACTTCATGAGTAGAATCCAAATGGTGAGTTAAAGATTGATTACTTTGTGGAACCAAATTAATATAGGTTCATGAAAAGTAGGATAAGGCCTGGCAAGCCTTGAACCTGCTGATGATGTTATAAAAGAATCCAAAGATTGGGATTATAATTAATGTTTGTAAAACTTGTGCCTTAACTAACCACGAAGAATGACTAGTAACAATCAACTGTATAACCATAACAATTTCTGGCAGGATTGATGTGGATGCCAATGTTATTTTTTGTGGAGAGGATTAAATTAGAGGTGCATAGAAGCTGTTTTCTGCCTGCAAAATGCATGATGTCACTAGCAACTGCATAACTTAAATGCAGGATATTTCTCTTGTGAAAATTTCTGAGAGCGCTTTCTTGTTGATAAGCAGTCCAGAATTTGAGAATCAAATAGCTGATCTAACATTCCCTTGTTGTTACAATCTATCTTCCCCGGGTTCCTTGGCCCNAAGAAAAAATCATTTATGGAAGTCATAAGTTTTACAGTTGTCTATAATGTTTGACGAACCCTTATCAGGTGAGAAGAATAGAAGCCAAAGGAGAGGGGCAGTGTTAGAGCTAGTTCTATCTTCATCTAGGCATTGTCAAAACTGATGGAAATAAAGTTGTTTTGGACAATCCTACCACTGATGCTTTTTTCTTCATTTTCCTTTTTATCTGTATCTTGGAATCCAGGCAGATCTAGCAAAAGATGGAAAAAATGGAAGTTAAAATTTTGTATAGGTGATACAAACTAGAAGACTAGTGCTTGTTATAGTAGTCTTAGGGGATGTTTGGTTTGAGGTATAGCAGAATATAATCACAGTACAAAACTCTGTATTTGTTATCCTCTGTTTAGTTAACCCTTTACATCGGGTATAAATAATACCTGTGTAACTAAGAGACTATACTAACCTTGTCCATCGAGTAATCATCCGTAACATTCTTTCATTTCAACTCTGCTAGGTTGCAGAAATGACTTCGGCAAAGGCTTTAAAAGATGTCTGTTCCGAGTGGACTGGCTGCGTCGGAGTCTGTTACATGGCAAATTTGGCTTCTTTTTTGTTGTTACTTGATATGAAGATTCTTGTAACTTTTCGAACAGAGGTTCAGAGTTGGGGCCGCTAGAGTATATTAGAGAACTTCGAGTGTTAGATAATCCTTAATTACGGAGTTTTGAAGTATTATGGACCCAAACAGAGAGCATTATGATATTAAGAATTCATCAGCCAACTAGCTTGGGATCGAGACATAGTTGTTCCTTCTCATCTGTAGGCCTTATAAATGTTACAGGAGATAATGTTTGTCTTTCTACTTATATTGGTTATTGCTTCTACGTCTTGTTTTAGTTATACTATGCTTTCTGCCACACTAATATGTAATCATATAGATTGAAGTACATTCTTTTGCTTTGTGTCTGCTGTCTGCTAATGACTGTTGCCTCGTTTTTACTTTTGCAGGTTAAGACCTCACCGCAAGAAGTATGGCCAAGCATCACCCTGATTTGATCATGTGCAGGAAGCAGCCAGGAATAGCTATTGGGCGACTTTGTGAGAAATGTGATGGAAAATGTGTGATTTGTGATTCCTATGTGCGTCCTTGCACACTTGTCCGAGTTTGTGATGAATGTAACTATGGATCATTTCAGGGCCGTTGTGTCATCTGCGGAGGTGTGGGCATTTCTGATGCATATTATTGCAAAGAATGTACTCAGCAGGAGAAAGATAGGGATGGTTGTCCCAAGATTGTCAATCTGGGTAGTGCTAAAACAGATCTGTTCTATGAACGGAAAAAATATGGTTTCAAGAAGAGATGAGGATTTGGATTCTATCCTTGTTTCTACGTACTGGTGTAGTTCACTACAATGAGTTTCTTACTAGTATGAAGGTTTCAAAATTAGGCATTCAAGTATAGGCCATGCAACTTTTTCCTATATTTGCTTGGATCTTAGCCATATTACATACTGGTATCACAAGTTTAACCTATTGTAACTTTGTATCGTGTTATGGATATCCAACAAAATGCCTCTCTCTATTGGGTGTGAAGGTTGAACTTCATTTTATGGTTCCTGATAGTTTAACTTCCTATTCTATCATGGTTCTTGTTCTTTAATTGAAGCAAGTTATTTAACTAAAGTTGATGCGATTGATAATAGAAAGCTACACAAGGAAGAGCTTATGCACATGAGCTAAACAGGGAATCAGATGACATACATTTCTGTGTATCAGTGCACCTTGTGTTGCGGCCATTGTGTTAGTTCAACACCCAAAAAACTCAATTCGAAGAAATCCAGATTTGATGTATGACTTTACAAAAAGTTCATCTTAAGGCTTATTAGAAGGAGCAAAAAACATTACTAGGCAAAATTTTAGGAAAATTTCCACTGATGTAGCAGCATTAGGTATTTTACACCCAAGACAACTAAAATCCTTTAAACCCTATACCTTAAATCACACATTCAAAGAATTTTAGTACACTGGTTCTCCTCAATTAATATGATTGACATCCTTAGAGTCCGACAATTGCATTATTCGTAACGGCCATAATCCTTTGTATTCTATATATTCCATATCCATATATTATATAAAAAGATGAAAAGCAACTAATAGGAAGCAAACAACTGAAAATATCTAGTTTATTTCTTCTGCCATGGATCAACCAATTCTCACACAATCTCACACAATCTATTCCTAATTTCTCGCATGAATATGACTTCCACCAAACGTAATTTTTGGTATATTACATATTTAATTAGCAACATTTAATATTATAAAAGGTATAATAATGAAATAATTTCATTTTATATTTATGGAATAATTATAGTATATTGCATATTTATTTATATAAATGATATAAGATCATACATTGTCACGACCCAAACCTATGGGCCGCAACGGGCACCCGGTACCTTACTCAACCGAGTACCAACATACGTATCTTTCTTATCGTACTATCATTGGCAAATGGGCCAAACGGGCCGTCATGGGCTAACCAGAATAAACATAAGGGAATCTATATATAATTATAAAGGAGGGGTTTTGAAATGTGACGTGGCATATGTCATTGCACAGGAATTACATTTATCTAATTTCTCAAATTTTTAGGCTTTTATTTCTATTTTAGGGTTCAATTATCCGAAAAGGTACCTCTAATCAAAAGAGAAACAATTGTTACTGGATAGTCCAATAGTCACCAACAAAAGCCACAAGCGTTATTTGATAGTCCAAAATTCTCCAGCAAAAGTCTTTACTTACACTTATTCCATTTCGCTTCTTCTTCCCCATCCATGAATTCCCCATCTGTTCCTTCCTTTGTGTTCCATCTTCTTCTTTCTCCCAATCCCCTGAGGTGTATCTCTCCTCTCTGTCTTTGAAATTTTATTGTCTTTTGTTCTCTTTCATGTTTTGATTGGTATCTCATGTATTTCTATATCAAAAATTCTCTAATTCCTACTTGATTTTAGGCTAATTGTATCAATTGACTGCGCA